GTGCGCGAAATTTTCATCAAGTACATGTTGACTGAAGGCAAATTAAACCTGTGAGCTGCAAACATCATCATGGTGAAGACATCAATAACGGCCATGCTAGCTAAAAGATAATTTGTAGTATAGGGGTGTGCATCTCTCTTGTTTTGTGTACGATTCGAATGAACAAAACATTTCCGATGATTTCAATGATGTAAAATGGTATGGGACAGCAAGACAAGACAAAACTTAGGCTATCAGTTTCGACAATTAATGCTTCACGTTTTGCTGCTTTTTTTGTTCAAAGAAATTGTCCGCAAAGGTTATCAGTCTTTTTAGTTATAATATTCATTGCACACGTATGAGTTAGTAGACAAGCTACAAATTGAGGTAGTTTACATTATCACTAAGATAATGTCAAACATATCCATTAATACCAATGGCCGTGCTGTTAAATAATTGGCCGCCAATAGATCGTTTTCACATGACATCACAGCGGCCATATATGTGTACAAAAAAAGTCTTGTGGGAATTGAACGTTTCACATGTTAAAACTTTCTTTTATTCCAACCAATTTGCAAAGCTGCTGAGCACTTGACTGAAAACGATCTATTGTATGGACGTCTCACATAGTAAGGACTACAATTCATAATTAAAAGCGCGTTATGAAGTCAGTTATAAATAGCCATACACCTGTCTTTGGTCTATAACTTAATTCCCTTCCCTTTTTTCGGCATAATAACTTTTCTGCATACTAAAAAATAATTTTCTCCATACTGCAAACATTATTTTCCTGCCTTTAGACCTTTAGCTTGTGCAAGGGAGTTGTCCTCAGCTAGCAATAATGTTAGCGTTGGTCTCTGTGACCTGTAATGACAAGGAGAATGTTATATTCTCCAAGCTGAATCTCATTCTGTGATGTAGGCTCTTGGCATTTCAGAAGCCGTTTAAAACTTTGCTTAAAATGCGTACTGCGAAAGGCGTAGAAAATTGGGTTTAGACATAAACTACAATTGAACAAAAAGTCAAGCACAGCTCTAAGAACAGAGTACAATAATAAGTCTTCCTGTTGAATATCCCAAGATGCGACAATTGTGTAGAACAAAATTCCAGGGGCATAACCGATCAAAAATCCCGTGGTTGCTAAGAGAAATGTCAAAACGAGTTTCCCCCTCTCTGAACCTCTTTCTCCTTCCGTTTCTTCTGGACACACCGTGTTGCTAAAATAAAGTCCCTTGATAAGAGATGCATAGCAGTAGCACATGGTTGTCAATTGAATAAAGAAAATTGATGCGTTTACGAGCAAATAAATTTTGCTTGCTTGATTCATGCGTAAAGTCCACGGACCAACACATGTGAAGCGCTCAACTGCATCTTCTTCGATGCTCCATTTATGTAAGAAGAAGGAAGGTAACGACAAAAGAACACTTATGATCCAAATAATAGCAATGGCCTTCTTTACGTTGTCGTCGCTTAACCGCAATTCAGTCCGGAAAGGTTTCAGCAAGGCATGATATCTTTCCACCGCTATCAATGTAAGAGTTGTGGAGGACACTTTTATGCATATTTCGACGAGGGCAAATGACTTGCAAGTGAATTTCTCAAAGTTGTTATTTACACTTCCAAGTTGATACTGGACGACATCGTATAATGGAAGCAACATAAAGGTGACGACATCGATAACGGCCATGTTAGCTAGAAGATAATTTGAAGGTGTGTGCATTTCACGTGTTTTATGCACGATGTGTATAACCAAGACATTTCCAATAAATACAGTTGTGAAAAAATGGGATGGAAGACAAAAATAGAACAAAATGTAGTCCATTTGGTTTTATCATGATTGACCCTGCCCTGGGATTGTTAATAGAACTCTTGCAAATTTGCTTTTGGTAGTTCGCGGCTAGGATCAACCAACCTTTAATACAAGCTGGCGAGTCAGATTCCGGCGAAATATCCAATTCGTCTTCCAGATTTAACTGGACACAGTTTGAGTTACAGTCATCATTTACACCTGACATTAAATAATTTTTACTGAAAAGGTCGTTAGACAAAATAAGCTTTGGCGTTATTCCATCGACGTCAGAATCACAATAGGCCATTTGCACTAAGAGGTCATGTGACATCGTTTTACGAAAATTAAAGTTACATGATTTTTTCTTCAAAAAACGATTAGTGGGTCCTATTTTTAGCAAAATAATAGTAATTTGGTTTTTCAAACCTGTATCATTTTCTTAAAATGAGTGAGTGCGTAGCTGGTCACGTGACCAAACTGTGATTTTTAAAATTATGAATTACCTCTTTCTGAACACAAATTTTGCACTTAAACTTCAAGGAAAGTGTTGAAAAGTTGATGTGGGAATGTTTACAGCACATCTGAGCGTAACTATCAAACGTTAACAAGATCTAAGCAAAAAGTAGTTTTGGCCGCCATGTTGGAGGGCAAGAGTATGCCCTCCAACATGGCAGCCAATACAAATGATACTACTTTGTTGAAAAATCAAAGTGCCATAAAATATCTCCCTTAACTGCGTTTCCACTCAAATTTCGGGTGTAAGATAATTTTTATGTGCTCTGTCAATTTTTGGCATCAGCAAGATTCCAACTCATTGTTTAAAGGAAGCATTGGTCACGTGACCTCTTAGTGCAAGTGGCCTATTATTATAATTCTCATTTGAGAGTTTTCTCTGTCTAAAGGTCAGATTAGACTCCCGGCAGGAGCCAAATTGAGCTTTAAGAAAAACGGTTTACTGATGGAAATGAAAATTGATGCTAGCAAGGTCCTTGCTGCCGAGTAACCCTTATATAGTCAGTGTCCAGTATCTCATCAGCACAAAAAAAAGAGTTTCTTAGTGTAGCAGCTAATTCTCCAGACTGATCTCCATATTTTTCCTTAAAGAATTTGTGAAGAGACTAGTGATAAACGATCAAAGCATTTTCCCTTTGGTGATCATTTTATTAAATCTCACAACCTTTTCTCTTGATTATGTATGGATATTGTTAGGAGAAAATTGACGTTGGTCACCCTAAAGACTTAAAGGGTTAATAGTCACTGTCAAGTATCCCGACATGCATGAAGAAATGAGGTCTCCCACGAGCTTTAAATAGAAATAATAAGGCTAAAATAAATTGAGTATTTTAACGGCGCATATATTCATATTTAAAATTGCGTCTCACTATTGCCTCACAGACGCCGGAAAAAAAGTTGAAATGACCATACATTTACCATAAAAACTTATAATGGGTATTAATGCAAAGAGAACTGTGGCAGAATTAACCATTGTTGAAGCAGTATCAAACCAATCTTGTTTTGTTGTTTATTACAACAGGCTGACGTTGACACATAATAGTCAATGTTCTTAATAATATGTTAAGAATTCATAAACAGCCAAAAAGAAGCACCTGCCTATTGATTATACTGAGCCTTTTTGAAAGAAATTTAAATATAAAGTGCAAAACAGAAATGGTTTGCCGGCAGGGAGAAAAGAAAACATAAAAGTAAAGTGGAGTGTTCTGTGTATGACTGAGTTTGTCATGAATGCCTGGGGGGGGAATTTTTATCATGGCCTATACGGGGAGGTTCCGCCCAAAAGGGGTGCCCTATTCAGGCTCCAGGTATATGAGAGGGTAAGGATTACACTGAATTTGAAGTCAGTAATCAGGTAATCGGCTCCTTTTGAAGTATATCAAGGGTAGAGAAATCTCTCTTTTCTTATGTAAAAGGAGCTAAAAGGGCTTATAGGAGAAATATGACTGTGAAAAAGTCGGAAAAAGTTTCTTTTACAACGCCATCAAATATCAATGTTATTGTGCTGAAACTGTGCTGGCGAGGGCAGCAGAGAAGGGTACATTTGTTAGTGTGTCACCCCATTATAACGTTTCTTTCCGACCGTTTATGGAATAATAATAGGATAAAGGATATTCTTGTACATGCAAAAACACCAATATCATGAAAAAATTTATCATTCATTCCGATTTATTGAAAACAATGGTTTCAAGAAATAAAAATTCAGATATATTTTTCCCATGTTTCAGCTGTAATCACGGGCGTATGTGCGTGCTAATGGACCCTACGCTACGCTCCTGAATGGTATATATAGAAAGGGGTAAGGGGTCGGAACTCGGGGCGGAGCCTCCCCTTATAAAACTTTTTTGAGTATCCCGCTGGGCAAGAATGTAGGTCTTGTACTATTCGAGACGTCTTTCAGTACCGTAAGTTGAACGAAACTAACCTGCTTGATCGATGGCAACTCGTCGGCCTGAGTTGTTCTATATTAATCAGGAGCCGATTTCTGATATAAATGCATTCTCGATTGGCGCCTGCTCTGAGAGTATTAACCCTTTAAGCCCCAGTATCCACGTACAAATTCTCCAAACTGATCTCCATACATTCCCATAAAGAATTAGTTGAGAGAATTTGATAAAAGATCATGGCATTTTCTCTTTGGTGATCATTTTATTAATTCTCATAACTTATCTCTTGACAGTGTATGGTTATTGTTAGGAGAAAATTGATCTTGGTCACTTTTGGGACTTAAAGGGTTAAGCAAGGAGAGTAAGTAAAAATCGTCAGCGGCACGATCGTTTAACTTCTCATATCGCGTTATTCTTTAATTGCGAAAGTGAGGAAAAGAAAAAGAAACTTCCCCAAAATAAACACCACCTCAACAGTGACCACCTCCTCCTGCATGTATATTTTTTGCAAAAAATGTAAACAATGACGTCACGATTAATCCGCCTATTGCACGGTTCCGCGCGAAATAAGTGTCCGGTTTCAGGACGAAAATTTCGCCTAGGGTGCATATAATAAGTTTTGTGCACTGGCAACATGTAAAGATGTTTCGCAGCATTTCTTTGACAGCTTGCCGAACGTGTCTCATCTTCCAACAATAGATCAGTGGATTGAGAGATGAATTAAGAAAAATAAGCGAAAATGAAAAAAATTTTAGTTGTTGTAGCAGGATAGTTTCACCAACGATTTTCATAGAAAATCTGACGCAGTAGAATGGTAAATAGCAAGCCACAAACACGACATACACGTAAAATGTACCAGCCGCAGTCTTTGTCAGTCTTGAGGAATTGGCGGCCAATTCTCCATTCTGTGCTATTTGCTGGACTTGCAGGGCGTGAATCTTATTTCTGTGGTGTTGTACGGCTACGTATATCTTGCAGTAAAGCAATCCTGTAGTAATGTAACACACAGTCTCCGTGCTTATTAATATTATAAATATGACCTCGCTTTTGATCTGGATCGATTCAAGAATGGAAACTAATGCGCTAAACACCCAGATTGAGATCACTGCAGCAACAACACGCTTATGAGTCACAAGTTCCTGGTATCTTCGATGAAGATGGATTGCCAAGAATCTATCGACAGTTAATGCGACAACACCAACGAAAGAAGCAGAGGCAAATAGAACCTGTCCGATCTCCAAGCTCAAAGTACAAATCCGGTAATTGTTTGTGATCCGTTCCGCTGTTTTCAAAACTAGATCTACTATGAATAAAGGTTTGACAAGCAAACTTACACCAAGATCAGACACCGCCAGACTTAGCAGCAGTGTTTGTAAAGTTTTTGGAAACGATGACACTTTTCTTAGGGCTTGTATTGTTATGATGTTCAACGCGATGGCGGTGGAAGACAAGAAAGCGTTCCATACACCTGTGATGACAAGCGCTGAATGCATTCTTTAGTTTGTATCATCAGAGCTGTTAAAGGATTTGGTGAAAATGTTTTTTCACACGATTGTCAGAATGCGACTGGACCGTAACTCAGTTTTTGGAAGTTGTATGTTCCACAGTCAATCAATGTCTTAAATTCACTGGATTGACCATCTGATGTCTAACCCTTTTTCTTGTTTACCGTCTAAAACTGTTTCACTTTCACTTGTTTCACTGACATTGGATATATCTCCTATGCAACACTTTTCGATTCGGTACGCATACACAGTGCCAGTAAGATTTCTTGACCGTTAGAGGTAGAAAAAGAAGAAAGCTAGTGTTCGGTCTTTATCTTCGTCCACAACATGCACTTTAAGTTTCAATTTGAATAGTACTTTGGCGTTCAATTGGTGGAAAGAACAGCTAGTTTTAAGGAGAACGTGCGACGGAAACAAAAGAAAAACACACTGATTGACAAAAATATCACTCGGCGAGCCCTTCCACCGGAATTGTTTACACAAAAAAGAAAAACTTATTTAAGCAGGAAGAATTAAGAAGAAAAACACCTGCTCTTCTTAACCAAAAATATCCGTTTTCGGGAATAGTTATGTCATGAATTACCTTTTTTTTTTCTTCTTTAAAACTGCAAAGGTATATCATTTGGGAGGTATCATTACTGATGTGTCGTGGTTCGACCTGTTCTAAGTCGATTCTGCTGTGCTAAGTTCACCTATACACGAAATGCTGCTGTAGAGTCTTTAGAGTTGTAAAGATATAATACAAATTTCACCAGGGAGAACTAACCATGATGTTTGTTTTTGCAGGCATACATATAAATCCATGTCCATCATTGCCATCCGTATCAACAGACTGGAACTACTCTGAGGAAAGCAATTTCTGTGCCTAAATAATAGTCTTAAATTACATCAGTGGACCATTATTTTTATCACATTGCCATTCTTGTTTACCAGGGAAAGCAATCTCTTATATCTGGCTTTCGAATGGACCTAAATTGGTAGATGTCCCTATCAAGTAAGTAATATAATCGTTATCGAGCTGAAAATTTCTTCCCAACAGCGCGCGCTCTCATTGGTTACTTCGAGGTCACTTGACAACTAACAATGAAACTGTTTCAAGCCAAAATCTCTGAGCGGGCAACATTGCAAAATCTATGACGTTAGAGGGTAACAGTGCACTGTTACTCGCGAAAGTTGACCGACGACTGCTATTGCAGCGAGTTTTGATGAATTTCCAACGACGGCAGGATGAAAACGCCAATGAAGAGAGGAATTAGGTTCAACCAGTGACAAAATTATCACTATTTTTCCATAATAATGATAATAAATAAATTTACATTTATTTAGCGCAAAACTGTATATGGATATATTGAGTTGCGCTTTTACAATGTTGTTAAATTAAAAGTGGTGTAAAAGGTGACTAAAACGTAAGGAACTATTAAAAACTACCAACCCGTACGAAATAAAAGCCAACAATTACTAATTGTAGCTACTTAAAAACCTAGTTAAAAGATCAAGACATGAGTAAAAAAAAATCCATTTAAAAGCTAAATTAAAAAAAATGAGTGTTAACAGCAGTCTTGAAAGTGTCCAATATCTTTAGTTTGCAAATTACCGAAGGTAATGCCGTTCCAGAGAAAAGGTGCAGCTGACTGGAATGCACGATCGCCAAGAGTTGTAGCTCGAGTAAGATAGACTCATTTGACCTTGCTCGTATCTTGCCTATCTTGCTCGAATCCGATTATCAAATGCAATGTTAGGAGAAATTTCTTGGACCCGAATGGCAGGAAGCGCATCAAAGTTGAAAAAGAGAAAAAAGTTTCATCCTATGTTGAGCCCTCTATAAGACCACTTGCAATGGTAAATTTCAAGTCTTGGTTGTGCAGTCAACGACAAAGAAATCTGCTTGAAAAAGTGCTTCGGTGATCGTGATGCACGCGGAGTACAGAGCTGTTGCTTTGCTCCAGTTTTGTTCATAAAATCGTTTTGGTTTTCGGCGAATCATCGGCCACGAGTAAAATATTGACTAAGAAAGCGGATGTTTCGCAGTATTTCCATAATTATACCTTGTCTCACCTGTCTCATCTTCAAGCAGTAGATCAGAGGATTCAAAGATGAATTCATAAACACAAGAGTCATAGCATAATACCACAATTGCAGTAGCAGAGTAGTTTTCCCATAAATTCTTAAAGAAAGTAAGACGCAAAATAATGGCCCATAACAAGCTAAAAATGCAATATACACGTAGAATGTACCAACTGCAGTTTTTCTTAGCCTTACTGTATTTGCCATTCCGTCATTTTGTGCTGCCTGTTGAATTTGCAGAGCGCAAATTTGATTCTTGAGGCGTCTTATGATTGCGTATATCTTGTAGTAGGAGAACCCTGTGGTTATTATAAAAACAGCTTGAAGGGTCACTAATATGATGAGAATAACCTGCCTTGTGATGATCCAAGTCAATAAGGAAAGAATTACACTTAACACCCAAGTGGCGATTACTACAGCAACAACCCGCCTATGAGTCACAAGTTCCTGGTATCTGAGATGAAGACATATAGCTAAGTATCTGTCAACAGTTAAAGCCACAACACCGAGGAACGAGGCGGAAGAAAATAAAACGTGTTGGGTGTAATATGCTATCTCCACCGTATGAATAACACTGTTAGAGCTCTGTTCTATTCTTAAAAGAAGAAATGCAATAAACAGCGGTTGAGTAAGTAAACCAACCCAAAGATCCGATGCAGCCAGACTCAGGAGCAGTATTTTTAAAGTCTTTGGTATCTGCGACGTTTTTCTCAGCGCTTGTATCGTTACGGTGTTCAGCGCGATAGCGGTGTAAGAGAAGAAAGCGTTGACAATGCAGTTAGCGACCAGCGTTGAATAAAACTCTTGAGTTTCTCCCATCACATTTCTGAAGAGCTCTTGGCGTACACTTTTGTTTTTAAAAACGGATTAAAGGAATACGCTTTGATTAACTGAAATGTCTCCGATAGTTCAGGATGCGTTCTACTGAGATTCGTCCTTCTTTAGTATAAGTGATCTTTATGTCCTCGCTTTTCTTTATTTAGATCCATTTGTTGCAAAGATCTTCAGTCATCCGGATAGTACATTGAACTTGCGTACATTACCTAACCATACCTCTCGGAAGCGAAAAAGAAGGAAGGGTCCTATAATGACAATTACTAAATTTATACTACTACATGAGAAATTTCTCCAATTTGATTTGGCTTAGAGCAGTTGTATTTAAGCTTAATTTGAAACACCTGCATGTAAAAATTACAAACCTTTTGTGAGTATTAGTATAAACAAATAATAGCATGATTTGTACGTGATATTTGGCATAAATACCACTCGTGATATTTCAAAATTGTCTCAAGTTTCACTCGCCGCTCGTGAGATTACGTACAACAATTTCGAAATATCACTCGTGAAATTTATGCCAAATATCACAACAAATCATTTCTATTACCTATACATAGCAATGTCGATTTTGTGGTTTGAGAGACAGAGATGCTAATTGCCTGTAATATAACAAATTAAGAAAAAGCTTTAAATATTTTTTAAGCGTTATACTTAAACAGATCAAAATTAAGCAAGCCCACTGATTGGCTAGAGTATCACTTTGTGAATCCTCAGTGCTACCGGATGTTTTTAACAAAAATGTCATAAGCATTTCAGTAAAAAGTAAAAGGTGAAGAGAAACACCTGCACATCTCGATGGAGAAAAGCTTTTTAACGGGAATCCTATTAGTAACTTAATTTTTGAAAGTACTCGTCTTTTTTCCTTTGAAAAGTCCGTTGGGGAGATAAAATTATCATCGAAATAAACTTAAAAAACAAAGAGAAGGGCATCTGGCACCGAGTTGGGCTGCTTTCCCTTTCGTATTATCAGTATGTTCCTAAAGACGCTTGCAGAGAAAAAGGTTACGTTTAAGCAAATAATTTTAATCGTGTATATAATTTCCAGTTTTTTGGCCTTCTAATGACGAATGCGCTTATTTCCCTTGAATCTGCCTCATCAGTCTAAGTGTAGGCTTTGAGGTTTAATTTGAATATTATCGCCATACGGGAGTATAATGGACATAAAAAAAACGAGAAACTGTTGCACTAGAAGCGGGCGGTTTAAGCGGCCACACATGGTCCCAGATCGTTTTCGAGGTAACTGCAATGGCAAACAACCAGAAAAAAATGAATCAATACATTAAGAAGGTGGCAACTACAGTTTTTGTCAGCCTTGCAGCATTATTCACATCTATAGTTGTGTGGCTATTTAATTTGCTGAAGTCAATAGATATACATAAATTCAAATTTTGCACCGTATTACGTCTACGCGTTCACTTGAACCCGGCTTTTTCGTTAATGCGAACAGCTCTTTATTAAGGGCAGCTTGGAATATTGTCCCTGGGGGAAACTATATTATCATTGAAGTTACCTCCCGATGAAAAATGCACAAAACAATACAACGTCAGGGAGATCGCCAAAGCAGGAGGCAATTATACCAAAGCGGTGCAACAAATTTAAAGGGAAGCCGAGTTGGATCGAATTATCACTCTGCGTGTCTTGCTGCAAGATCAAGTTTATTACAAATAACTGAAGAGATTTTATTAAGAAGAAGAGATGACGGAAAATCACCTGCATCTCGAAAAATCCATTGTTAACTTGAATTTTCAAATTTCGAGGAATGGTTCCGCTGAAATAACTACCTTAGGGCTGTCGTTATAATATAGCCCGAAATAATGTGGGAGGTATCAGCCAAAGAGCACGTCTATTACCCACGGACAGCTGCTTTAATTACAAAATAGAAGTTTCATTAAGCGACTGAGTGCCCACGCCGAAGGGCCCAGCTAAGTGAGACATAATATTCCTAACACGCAGTTTTAATTTCTATCAAACTGAAGAAAGATGATATGCAACTTTGTATCAGTGAAAATGTAATATGAATTCAAACAGTTGGCAACTAAATGAGTGAAAAAATTGAGGACCTATTCTGACTATTAAAACGGGCGTTAACGAGTTTTGTCAAAGGAAGAAACTACTTGTAGTTTGGGGCGGTTTTGCTAATGTGGAATCCACCAGGAAATTGAGTAATTTTAATTTTCAGTGGACAAAAACCTTGTACCAGAATAATTCAAAGACTATTGCCATCTTTTTTTACATTTTTAAGGGCTATAGATGTAATTAGTTATCTGTAATAACACCAACAAAATTTCTTATGGGAGCCCGAGAAAATAAATCTTAAATTTTCCAAGAATTGTGAAAAACACGGGTAAAATCCTGAAAATTTCATGTGTAAGATGTCATTTGTGCAATTTGACACTTAATTTCTCGGGCTCCCATGAGAAATTTTCTTCGGTGTTATTACAGACAACTAACTACGTCTATAGCCCTTGAAAAATGTAAAAAAGATTGCGATATTGTTTAAATTATTCTGGTGATGGGTTTTGTCCACAGAAGATTTAAATTACTCAATTTCCTGATGGATTCTGTCTTAAAATTCTCTGGAAATGCTTCATCGTAGGGCAGCCATAGCCTGCGTTGCAGCCGGCCCACGCACTCGTCAAAAATATTTGTAGAGCGTCTGCGACGCAGCCTGAAGGCAGCCAGAGTAATTTACAACTTGCCCTGGAACACGCCCACTGCTGAGGTCTTCCAGTATTCGAAATGGAATACATTAACCTCCTATTATGGACTATTTCACAGCGTATTTAAAGGCGACGCACCTGCAGCATTATCGCATTTGCCTATTAACCCTTTAAACCCTAAGATCAAAATTTGAATTCTCATTTGTTGACCCTATTTATTTCCTATAGAAGTAGTTGGGAGAAGTTGATAAAACATCAAGTAAATTCATCTTGAGTGATCATGTCCGTAATTCTCATGACCACTCTGTTTTACAAAGCATTGATTTTGGCAGGAGAAATTTGATGCTGATAACTTTTAGGGCTTAAAGGGTTAATAAACCCTGTATGGCTTACAACTTCAAAAGAGGCAATAACATTATTGTCCCTCGTATTAACTCGTACTTTCTGAATTGGAATTTGCTCATGGTACGGATTTGTATTTTTCACTAGAATTGAAAAACACAAGCGTTAAAACATAGTAGCCGTTCTGCAAATGAAGTAGTTCGAGAGCTTCACCAAAGATTTTTATAGCAACTGTTACACAAAAAATGCTAGACCCCACTTCTCTTATATTTCCTCAACTCCTTACAAACACACTGCCGTAGCGAGACAACTTGACAGCCGAGGCAAAAGGAGAAAGGTATAGTTTCACTGAAGTGAAATGCTCAAGGAATTTCAGCGTAGAACTCTTGTCGGCTCTTCACTAGTCCCTCTTAAGTTATATATAAAAGAGCAAGAAATACAAATACAAAATTACCGGTGTCAAAATTATAATATAAATTAGTTATTTCTTGTAGCACTGCTTGGCCCTTTAGGGACGGATAGTAATCAACGGTTAAGTGATTAAAATCAAATCGGCAGTCTAGATAATCTCATATGGAACACAACTTCTGACTGTCTGAAGGAAGTCTGGGACTAGAATGACGTCATAAATCCGGCATAACAATTTCTGAGTTGACGGTTTTGCTTTCTAAGCCTATGATTGCCCAGTTGACAAGAGGGTCATAACTGGAACCAGCCGTCAACCGTCAAATGGCGTAAGAAAGCTCATTTTTTTTAGCGAACGTTTTTTTTGCATCCGTCGAACGAGTTGTGATTCAATTTCTCTGCAAACGCAACTACAGGTCAACTAAACAATGGAGTCTTCCTGCGTTCACCCCTCCTAAATGAAGTTTTTGGCAGCTCCCATTTCATATTCAAGTATAACGCACGAACCTCTGCGAAAGTGATTACCTGATAAAGTCGTCACACATAATTGATCAGTGAAAAGCCCCAGAACATGGGGATGCGTTGAAGTACCTTTTGATCCTTATAATCATAGGCAGATAACTGTCGCCTCGTGAAAGGTGATCCAAGACATTGTAGCCGTATTCTCCGTATTCTCTTGATTCCGAATTCATTGTCAGTGGAATTCAGTGGAGGATCCAAAGGAGGCCCCCGGGCCCCCCCCTGCTTATTTTAGACCAAACTAAAAAAATTTTTGGAGACCGCCCCCCCCGCCCCCACTTATCTCAGGGTCTGGATCTGGATGACCGCCCCCCCCCCCTATCTTTATCCTTATCTTAGGTCTTAATCCGCCACTGGAATTGCATTCCGTTTTTCAATTGTTAACTGGATTCCGGATTCCGGATTCCGGGTTTATGGAGCTGAATTACGGATTCCGGATTCCACAAGCCAAAAAGTTTACCGCATTCCGAAATTCGGATTACCTTACCTGAGGCGATTATTATACGTTTCTTGGGAAACTGCCCACGTACCCCTCCCCTAAGCCAACATTTATCCCGTAAGTGAGAAATAAGTGTTGACGGTGGCTTAAGGGAGGGTTAGATGGGCAGTTTCCCAGAAACGTATAATGATCATTATTGAAAATGGTGTTGCGAAGGGAACTTATGTGAAACGAAACTGCCAATTTTTATTCTAACGCCATGCAAGGTGTAGAATTTAGCAGTCATTATTCCGCCATTAAAAACATAGCTTTTGTTACCGGCGAGTCATAATTTTAAGATTCATTATTTTCGTTTTCAGGGTCTGTATCCCTCGAATCCTAAAATATATATTGGTTTCCAAGGATTT